CCAGCAGCAACAACAACAGCAGCAGCAGCAATTACAACAGCAGTTGCTTCAACAGCAGCAAAGCCTGCAGGCTGATCAGGCGGCCTCAGCACAGTCTCAACAGCAGCAGTTGGCTCTTCAGCAGCACGCCTTAAATCAGCTCCAACAACACCAGCAACAACAGCAGCAGCAGCAGCAACAGCAAGCCGCTACCCACCACCTCCAGATTTCTGCCTTCTCCCATGGACCCTCGAACCCTGTGAGCATTGGTAAGGACCCTTCACACATCATCAGCATGGGTATCTCACCCGCAAGATGTCTGATTGGCAGTTCCTAGACTGAACCACGTCGATTGAACCGCGGCCTCTTAACGCCCTGACGGCTGGCAGTTAACCTGATATTCGTGTCCTCTAAGCCAGGCGGGGAAAAGGAACTCTGGAGCCACGGGGTAAGACTGGGAAGTAGCAAAGAACTGAGATGCTTGATCTTGGCTGTCAGGGAGAAGAGTTAGTATTGTAAATCGCATATAGAGCTCTCGTGAATCTATAAATGCCGGAAGTTGTGTTTAAACCCGTTGTGTGAGGCCATCGGATGGTGAAGTGTAGCCAGGGTAATTTTTTCGAACCCTCCTGTGAATTAATTATATCAGGGCTTCCTTGTCACTTTCGTCCTAGTCACCGTACTGCTCGCATGGGATTATCAATTTGAATATTGAGTGGATAATTTAACCTAATAATTGACGCAAGTCTACGCATACCACAAGACTGAATCCTTCTTATTGCCAGAACTAGACTACGCACAAAGCTTACCAGAGTGCAGAAACACTCTGACAGACTCCTGACTGGCTTCGCCTCTTGGTGCAAGTGGTTGTCGGACTATATCAGCGACGATGAGCACAGCGTTTTAAAGCCTCAGACGATTGCCGGGCCTCGTTCGGGAATGACTTGACACTTGGGACTTAAAAAATCCTCAATTTGAGAGAGAGCAGGAGCATACTAATGTTAGTAGATGCCCACAGAACGATGGTGTACATCCAAATTTCCACTTTTTTCTCATAAATTTTTTCGATGTACATTGACATGACCTCCGTTTCACATATGGATCTTGAACAAAGGTTTATTAACTCTTTACCTTTTATCAGTTGTTATGGCTACTCTGATCTAAACATGTCCTTGTGCGCTGTTTGATTAATGTTTCATTTTCTCCTCAGTTAGGTATGTTTCAGGGAAACCCTGAAGACGAAACGCCTTTTGAGAATACAACGAGTGTCTGAGCTAGACTAACTAACATATTATCCGTGTTGCCAGGACTGGCTCGTTCTAGTTTGCTCCGTTAGCCAGTGAACGCTTTGCCACGTGACCTCAATCAGCACATGTTTAAAGGAAAGTAATCGCGTATCAATAGAGGAAGGTCCGGAAAATTGTTTCACAATTATTACCAATTGTCAGCAGGCCTTAGGCTTGGCAGGCAGGCAGGCAAATAGCCCTTGTTGGATCCGGAACCCCGCCGCGTGGGCCTCAATCCCGGCGGCG